GGGAAGGAGGAAGAGAAAGAAAGGAAGAAAGGAAGAAAAAAGGAAAGAAGAAAGAAAAGAAAGAATATTTTCAAATTCTTCACATTTTCCCAAATTTTACATTTTTCATGTTGAACATATATTACTTTTATATTCAGAAGAGAGTAATCAAAACCGTCACTAACAAACAAGGCAATAGAAGATGGGTATAAAGACCATGTTAGTCATGATGCTGATTTCATGCAACAACTTTATTATTTTTTGATGTACCATAGTTTGGGAAAATACTAAACAGGAAGTATTAGAAATATATTTTAGATATTCCTGTACTTCACACAGCATTTCTGAATTAAAATATTTTTGGTCAGAAGGTTTTTTTAGGTAGCCTGGAGGATGGAGGCTGCAGTGAGCCAAGACAGTGCCACTGCACTCCAGACTGGGCAACACAGTGAGACTTTGTCTCAAAAAAAAAAAAGATTTTTAAAAGTATCTATTAAAAATATGACTACTAAAACAGGTAAAAATTAAGACTTAAAATATTCATCACCACAGATTTGACAATTGACTCTTAGATATCACACCAAAACCACAAACAAGAAAATATAAAGTACAGAAATTGCATTTTCTCAAAATGTAAAATGTCATGCTTCAAAGGATACTATTGAAAAAGGAAAATAGAACTCATACAATGGGAAAAAAATATTTGCAAAAGTGTATATCTCATAAAGCACTTGTATTGAGAATATATGTAAGGAACTTTTACAACCACAAAAAAAGAGAAATAAGGCAATTTCAAAATAAGCAAAGGATTCAAATAGACATTTCTCTAAAGAAGATGTATAAATGGCCAACAGGCACATGAAAAGATGTATAACATCAGTAATTATTAAGTAAATACAAATCAAAACCAAAGTGAGATAACACTTCACACCCTCAAAGATAGCTATAAGCAAGAAGTCAGGTAATAACAAATGACATCAAGGAAACTGGAAGCAACATACACTTCTGGTGGGGATACAAACTGGTTTGGTCAATTTGGAAAACAAGCTGCAGTTTTTTAAAAAGTTAAACAATAATATTGCCATTAATTCAGCAGTCTACTCCTAAATACATACCCAAGATAAATTTTTTAAAATATGTCCACAAAAACACTTGTACACATATGTTTATACAGCATTATTTGTGTTAGCCAAAAGGAGGAAACAATCTAAATGCTCATCAATTGATGAATGGGTAAACAAAATGTGGCATATCTAAACAATGGAATATTATTTGGGCATGAAAAGGGAATGAAGTAATAATAGATGCTATAACATGGATGAACCTTGAAAATATTCTGCTAAGTGTAAGAAGCCAGTCACAAATTACCACATATTATGATTCCATTTTTATGGCATGTCCAGACTAGGCAAACATATAGAGATAGAAGGTGGATCTGTGGTTGGTTAGGGTTGGAGCTGAAGGAGAGAGGTTAGAAGCTGATAGCCAAAGTGTACAGGGTTTCTTTTTGAGGCGATAAATATTCTAAAGTTGATTGTGGTAATTGTTGTAAAACTCTGTGATTATATTAAAAAAATTAAATTATACCCATTAAGTGGGTGAATTGTATGGTATGTAAATTATATCTCAATAAAGACATGACAGAAAATAGCAATAAATGTTTACAATTCATGAGAAGGATACACTGGAAATTTAAAAACTAAAAATAGTTTTAAAATTTAGGCTTAGTAGCAGAATGTAGAAAAAATTATCTGGGGTTGAATAAAAAAATAAGAATTTGTTACTCACACTTGCTATCTATTGAAACAGCCGGCTTCATGTCTAGGAAGAAGGCAGGTAACAGTTTTTGATTCTGAGGGGGAAATCTTGAATACAAATATTACCTGAAACTTAAATACATATATATATGTGTGTGTGTTTTATTCTGAGTAAAATCGTAACCTTATTTTATTTTATCTTTATTTTTATTTTTGTAGTGATGAGGCCTTACTATGTTACCCAGGGTAGTCTCAAAGTCCTGGCCTCAAGCCATCCTCCCACCTCAGTCTCCCAGAGTGCTGGGATTACAGGCAAGTGCACCACACTATTCCTGTAACAGTATTTTAAACCTGAACACTCCCTCTCAGTTCCTGAGAATTTTTCTAAGTTTCTCAAGCTATTCTGTGACACAATCTAAAGCAAGGTGTTTGAACAACAATATAGGGCTCGTTGCTTCACTTACCTTACTACTCCCCTCCAAAGTATAAAGGAAGCCAGACAAGCAAAAGGACTGAAATTAGAAATTACAGAAAACATTTCTTTACAGATATTTGTCAGGCGTCGTGAGTACCACAACCGCTTTTCTTGGGGGAGATGGGTAGAGCTTCATTCCCCATTCCCTCCAGTGTAATAAGAAGGGCTTCAAAGAGATTACTTGGGTGGGTTAATCAAGAAAAGACTGATAAAGCCTCCACCCTGACCGCCACTTGGCTCATCCCCCTACTGGAAATCTAAATCCTTTTTTACTAGATAGTAAAATGGTATGTGGTGGAAAAAATGAATTCCTGGAACCAAAACATAAAATGCAAAGGCTGATAGGATTATAAAATGAAAGCTGAAATGTTTAAGCAGGTTTTATGTAAAGTAGTTGTGTATCCTTTACCTAAATGTTTCGTGGAAATGGATATTGTGTCTGACTGAGGAATGTTTCCCCTGCCTAGGACTGTAAAACAGGACGTACAAATCAGCCCTGTGAGCAATATTAACTGAACGTGCTAAATGGGAGCCAGTAAGATTGTCCAAGCCTAGAGTTTAGAGTGAAAGTTGAGAGTGCTGGTGGGGCGGAATCCTCCACTTGAGAGCCCTTTGTGGAATGTTCACTGGGACTGATGGCAAAAGCCTGTGAGTACCTCCCAACAGCAACTACTAGCGCTTTAGAGGAGAGAACTTCCCGCTTTCAGGGCATTTACTGCATTGCTATGGGAAAGTACCCTTCTGCAAATGGAAATAGCAGTGCACAAGTCTTCCATAATAAAATGGAAATGATTTGTATAGGACCTTGCTACTTGGGGAGCACAAGGAGGAGATTCTAAGAATCAGGGAGCTACTTTTTCCCCTTGGCCTGACTTTTTCTCCCTTGGCCTTTTTCAATTCCGACTTGACTTATGGATGACAATTTAAAGGTGAACAAATGACATCCTGTTTGGAAGCTGCTACTCTGTTTGAAAAAGCCTCAAGAAAACCTTTTTATTTTGAGATATTTATAGCTTACCAAGATTGAGTACAGTATATTTTTGTGAGCAAAATTTACCTTCTCTCTATCCAAGATCTCCAAAACGTGGAAACTATTCATGAGTATTTTTCTTTTAGAGAAATATAATTATTTGCAAAAGTTCAGTAAGAATCTGCTTTATTTTGTAACAGGATATAACTGGAGACACTAGTTATTTTACCAGGACTTTGACTGAAATGGCATATTTTCAGATATGACCAGACTGAGGAATTGAGGCCAACTTTATAGTGCCAATAAAAAGCCCCTAGGAAAGGCTGGCCTGGTACCTTGTCTAAATGATTCCCGTGCAAAGTTTCTGACTTGTAGTAAGTAAAAAGAATGTCCCTTTCAAAAAGGCCCAGGAGCCTCAAGATATTTTGGGACCTCAAGAAGCATGGAATTTGTACATGTATAAGAAGCACAGTCTAATGGCAAGTGCTTGGCTTGGTTTCTGGCCTTGAGGCTTTTAAAAAGTCAAATCTAGGCCGGGCGCAGTGGCTCACACTGTAATCCCAGCACTTTGGGAGGCCGAGACGGGCAGATCACGAGGTCAAGGCGATCAAGACTAACCTGGCTAACACAGTGAAACCCCGTCTCTACTAAAAAAAACAAAAAAATTAACTGGGCATGGTGGTGGGCGCCTGTAGTCCCAGCTACTAGGGACGTTGGGGCAGGAGAATGGCGTGAACCCAGGAGACAGAGCTTGCAGTGAGCCGAGATTGTGCCATTCTGGACTACAGAGCAAGACTCCCTCACCAAAAAAAAAAAAAAAAAAAAAAAAGTTAATCCCAAAGTGCTGGGATTATAGGCGTGAGCTGCTGTGCCCAGCAATAATGCTTAATCTTATTTTTCTATGAGATTCTTCCTTCTCTCTCAAAAGCTCTGGAACCTATGGTCATTGAGCAATAAACTTTCTTATATCTTCATCCTCTTCTCAAGAAATTACAAACTCCTTCACATAAGGCAAACTTTGCTCTCTCCTTTGTGGACACTGCTTTCTTTGTATTCCTCTCAAACTGAGATTGTCTGTTAACATGCATCCACTCTTCTTGGGACATGGAATCAATGTTCTTACTGATCTTCATATTTTTTCTCAGATTATTATTCTGTTTCT